ATCTTCTGTTGTATCTCCAAAGAATAAACTAGAAACTGAACTTCCATCTTCTGAATCACTTAACTCAGCTTTCTTTATTGTCTTTCTTTTATTTTTTTTCTTAACACACTTTGAACCTTTATTTCGATTGAAATATTTCATAACACCACAACAATCTAAAATACCCATACTAAAGGGGTGATGGAAAAATTAAAAGGAATAACTTTAAGGAGAAACCAATTATTTTTACAAAAATTTTTATTCGACAATCTTTTTATCAGAATCTGTTGACATGAAAACTGTCTTGATTCTCTCAATTATGTTTTCTTTTAATTTTATCTTATTTCCTTTTTCGTCTGTAAAAACTGTTTTGATAAGTAAATTTTCATCAGAATTTAAATTTGAAACAAACAAACTTATTGAAGGAAATTCTTTTACTATAACATTTGATATTAGTATGCTTACTCCTGGTATTTTTTGAAGTAATGATTCCATAAAATTAACATTTGAATCATTTGTAAGCTTTTTAGGATTATTTCCTTTAATATCACTTTCTTTATTAAAATAATTTAGATTTTTTATTTCTTCAATTAACTCATCTACAGTTTCAACGTAAATAATGTTTTTACTTGTTGATATTTGAAATTGATGAAAGTCTAATGGTTCTAAACTTTGCGATAGATTTATTTCGTTGTTAGCACTACATAAAATGTTTTCTCGGTATTTTTTATTTTCTTTTGCTTTTAATTTGTTTAAGTGTTTGCTTTTTTCAATTAAAAAAATCACACTTGAATTGATAGCATGGAAGTCTCTTACTTTGTAGTAAAATTCAGAATAAAATTCAACATAGATATTTAAATTTTCAAATTTAACATAATCACCTTTAATAAACTTGAATATATAATCACACTCAGTAGCCTTTTGAAAGAATTCTTTTATTTTTTCTGGTATGAATAAATATGTTTCCATCAAAGAATAAAAGATATGTTTTTAAAAAATTTTAAATAATTATCTGTGAGATTAGAAGTAAGAGAGTGTTTATAAATATTTTTGATTTTCTATAAATACATTTAAATTTCATATAGATTACTTAGTAAAAAAACACCCTTACTGGGATTCGAACCCAGACCGTGTGGTTAGAAGCCACAAATTCTAGCCATTATACTATAAGGGCTTATTTAAATAGACTTTTAAATATATATTATAACTAATTTATTTTTTCTTTATAGCATAAGTTTTTCTAGTTGTATTTAAGTGGAGACCCATTGAATTTAAATATGGAATTAAATATACAAACTGAAATGTATAACCAATCTTAATAATTTCTGGTGGATTCCACCAAGTAAGTAAACATTCACCGGTGTCATCAGATACTTTCATCTTCACATACCTCTTAATAATAACTTCCTCATTTCTAATAACTTTTTTAGCTTTACGAGCCAATTCCAATACCTTTTCCATCTCTTTTTCAATATCATCAACTCTATTTCTATAATTATCAATTATAATTAAAAATTTATCTTCTATTATTTTTTCAACTTTAACAATTAAACAACTAACAACATCTCCATTAATTTGAATATTCCTTATTTTGTTTAAAAATGATATTTTTTTACTTTTGCCAAGTGGGGTTTTAGTGTTACAAATTTTAATACCGTTAAATGATAATTTTAGTGGACAGAAATCATCTTTAATTTCTAAAATATCGGTAGGTTTTTCTAATAATAACTGCATTCCAAATACGTGTATCTTTGAACCCATCTTATAATTTGAAAGCATATGATAAATATAATCATCAATTTTAGCTCTTAAACTATAAAACCCATCATAAAGAACTACATATTCCTTTGTCACTTTCAGAAGTCCTAATACACAATATCTATATGGTATATCATCAAAAGCAACAACTCTCTTAAGATAAGACTTTTCATTTTCATATCTCAATCACATCAAATTAATAACTTCACTTTCAAGAAATTCAGTATTATTAATTGGATTTAACAACAAGTGCAACCAAACCCATTTAAATTGTATTTTAACCCATTTCTTACTGCAATTCTTAAATATTTCACAACACTTTTTAAAAATATCAACCATTTTGATGTTTGAATAAACTTTAGCTATTTTATGTCCTTTTTGAGGACAATTATACCTTCTCATAGGTAATCCTTTTTGTTGGTTATCTTTTACATTTACTTGAAAATTACCCTCTGTGTCTTTTACTACCTTCATTTTATTATCACCTTCTAAAAATAAACTTTGATTGATATTTTCTTCTTTAATTTTAATTTTTTTGTTATTTCCTGTTTTAAATCCTGTTATTAATAAATTTTCATTAATTAATTCTTTATTAGTTAAATTTTCTTTATCATTAATTTCTTCACTAAAAAAATCTTCTTCTTTTAAATCTTTTCTATTAAAATCTTTAATAATTAAATCATTATTATTTCCACTAATAACATCCTTTTCATTAAAACTCAAAACATCATTATTTTCTTTTTTAATACTTGTTACATCACTAATAAAATCATACTCGGTAATTAGAGTGTTAATTAAATCTTGTTGTGTATTTAAAAACGAATCATTAAGAAAATCAACAAATGAATTATTTATTTCATTGCTAAATAACTCATCAAATAATTCAATATCATTTATATCTGTTACCACTGAATTTAAGAAGTCATCATCGTTCATTTAAAATTATTTTATTTTGTGGGTTAGTTTAACAGTAATTTATTTAAAAGAATGAATAGGAATTTTCATTATCTAATTTCATTTCATAGACATTGTTTTGATCATAAGTTAAAATAAATTTGATTGATTTGAAAAACTTCGCAGGTAGTAGTAATTCATTATATGTTTCTAAGGTTGCTGGATCTCTATAGTAAGAATTTGTGTCAAATTTGGGTTGTTTATCATGCAAACCCATTTCAGTAATTGGTAAATTGTCTTCAGTATTATCAATTCTAAGTTCTCCCCAATCTTCTAAATACTTTTTACGGTTTTTAAGTACATTCCTAGAAAAGTTATCAAGGAATGTTTCTTCAGGTTCGTTAATTGGGATGTTTCTACAATTGGCTGTAAAAAGATCTTTTAATCCTTTATAAAAATAATAATCAATTCCTAATAAGGGAACTAACAACAAAAATATCAACATATTTGTTTTGTTAGAAATGACTACAAATGTAAATATTTGAAATGTGATAACACTAAATAATATCAATTTGGTTGCTTCTCTCCAAAATACACCACCTGATTCATAGGGATTAAGAGTACAGTATATCAATTCGTTTTTATACAGAAAGTAATTAAGCAGATAAAAGAAGAACCCAATAAACAAAATCATTGGACTTACAACTGAATATGCAATAGTTATTGGCAAAATCAATAATAG